AAAAAAAAAAAAACTCCCTCTCAGCTAACCCTTAACCTTTTGGATCCCCCAAATTCCACCAGCCGGGGAGAACCCCACTTTGCCTCCTTCAGGCAATTCTGTAGAAATTGGGGAGGAGGGGACAAGCTCAACCCCTCTTCTGTTGGCCTCGAGGGACGGGTGCCAGCTGGATTCCAGAGAAGGACCTCAAAGCACTTAACGAGAAGGGGTTCAATGTGCCAAATTCACCTCCTTCATCCCCCGTCTCAGGGGCCTCTGAGCCAACCTGCCCCAGCCACCTTCTTCTGCCCTGTCCCAACCATCTCTGCATGGGCAAGGAGGCTTCACTGCAATAATTATTAGGGGATCAGAAGGTGAAGATCGTGTGCCACCTTTATCTGCCCTAGCCTGCCCCGGACTTGTAGGTGGGAATTATGGGTATCCCAAGCGGAGTTTGGTAAGAGTCAGACTTAGAGACCGTTGGGGACCTAGACTTGGAAGAACATGGCACCACTTTTCGGAGTGGTATTTCTTCTCCCCTTCTTAGCCCCCAAGTCCCGCACTCTCCCCTCTTTCCGTTTCTCTTGCCTACTTCTCCATCCCCCACCCTCCTTACTTCGTTTCTGATTGGTGGCCTACCGTTTGGAAAGTGAGGGGATTCCCCTGCATTGATGGTCGCTGTGGCAAGACCAGGACTCGAGGTCGTGATACGCGGAGCGGTGGAAAAAGTATTAACTAAGAGCGGCGACGAGGCTGGCTATTGGGGGCGTCCAGGCTGCTGATTGGGTGCCCACCTCTCGCGACAGCCAGGCAGGCCTTCGCTGTTGGCCACGCCCCTGCCCCGCGCCGACTTTGAAACTCTGAGGCCGGCTATCGCGAAAGCCTGAACCGGATGTCACGATGGGGAGGACGGGATCGCGATGCCCAAGTTGGGGCACCGAGGGCCGGGGACACAAGTTTACGGCTCTCGTGGAGTCGCGACACCCAGCCCTGCTATCTGATCCCCCTACACTGCAGTCAGCTGTCTGGACGCCGTGGTGGAGGGGCTTCTCTCGGTGGCGCCGCGGCTGGTGTGTATCAGGTCCGTCTCAGTGGCCCCTGCCAGTCGCGTTGGGGATTGCTGGGTGGCAGGGAGGGAGATGGGGAACGTCTCTGTGGGGGTGGGGAGGGGGGGGGGGTTGCTGTTTTTTAACCCCTTCTCAGCCAGTCCAGGACATTCTTGTCTCTCAGAGATAAGTGGGGGGGACCGCCTAATCCCCCTCCCGCACACCTTTCCTCCTCCCTACCCCACCCCCCCAAAACCACCAACCTCATATTCTGCGACTCCATCACCACCGGCCACCGGGACCTGCGGCCTCATTGCTCCAGCCCGCCCCACTCGACCGTCAGACTCGCTCATCGAACTCTTTTTGATTAACCTTGTGTTCATCCCACGCAAACTGTGTCTGGCGAGAGGGGAGGGGGAGGCGAGGGGCAAGGCAGCTACCTTCCTCCATCTCCTCCCACCGCCCATGCCTCCCCACCCGCACCCCATCCCATGGCCTACCCCATCCCTCACTTAGGTCCTCCCCGCCCTGGGGAGAGTGACCCTTTATAAATATCTCTGCTGTTTGGCTTTGTCCCTTTCAAAGGCGGGGCCAGGGGCGTGGCCTCCTGCAAGCGGAGCGCTGACTCCGGCCCCAGTCTTATCTGTGCCCTCCCCCCACACTCCCCACCCCTTCATTGTAAATAGTCACTTTTGTACTGGGTTTGGAGCCAGGGACGGGAGTCATTTTTTTCTTTGTATGACATCTCAGTTCCCTGGAGGCATGGGCCCATTCCTGGTTACACGGGAGAATTCCCATGGGCCTTCACTGCCCCCCAGTGCTGAGGATTTCAAGATATCACTCCCAGAGGAATGTGGTGCACTGATCCCCTCCACGGGAGGTGGGGAGAGGCGGGCAAAAGGTGTAGTCTGACGGGATAGTTCGGTTGTCCCCATCTATGAAATGGGTTGTCCTCCAGGTTCCCTGGGGAGCCCAGTGAGATAATGGTGGAGTTAGCATCTCTCTCTTGCCCCTTTCTCTGTTTGGGGACAGACAGGGTAGGAGGAGGAGGCTAGGATGACTGTTCACGGAGAACAGACCGGCTAAATCTCATTTCTGGGACTTTTAAGCTAGCTTCTCCCACGCCTGTTCTCAAGGCTTGGACAATGGGGATTGGAGGACCTGTTAGGGTCCCTTGGTGGTATCCCCAGTCTCCCCATAATACATTAAAGGCCCAAGCTCCAGAGCTGGCCCCGCTGCCTGCTACAAGGTCCCACATCTCTACTGCCTCCATGTCTGGGCTCCAGCATCCGGGCCATGTGGCCATGCCTCCAGTGTGTAAGGTTTATTCAACTCCTTTAATCTGATTCTTCCTTCTCGATCTCTTTCATAATTCAGAGAAGTTGCCGCTTTCACCTTTCCTTTCATTTCACTCCCCCTTCTACCTCTCTACTCAATTTAGGTGCCTTTGGTTAGCTTCCATTGTTCTCTTTCCCTTCCTTCCTCCTCCCCTATTACATTGTTATGTTTGCTTACGCTTTATATTCCTCCCCACTCCACTAATTTAGTGTCTGGTTGGGACTTAGTAAGGACTATTTGGGAGTATATTTTATGGTTCTTCTAGACTTAATTTCACATTTACACATCACTCTTTCCTCTTCCGCGATGACACTTTGTTGCTGGAGAATTTATCTTTCAGCATCTGTGTCTACTGCTGTCTTTTTTTTTGTTGACATCACACACTCCTTCTTAACCCATCCCCTTCCCTCTCCCTCCTCCCCACACCTCCACCCTCATCCTAAATTCTTTCCCCCTTTCCCTCGAGGGCTCTGGGTATCCAGGGAAGGGGGTGGGGGGACCCCTGAGGATGGGCTCAGGAGGGGGAAAGAGGGGAGGGGTGGATTATTCTCTCTGGACTGGGCCAGCACCCAGAGCAAATGTGTCAGAGGGGAGCCAGCATCCAGGTTTAGGGCTAGCTCGGGTGTCCAATCGAGGGTCGGCATACTACCTGCACCACATATACTCAGCACGACGGCCGCGCAAAGACGCTCCTGGACCCCCAAGTCCACACGCACAGCATTGCAAACGCACAGCCCCGAGCAGAGTCAGGATAGCCTGGGGTTACGGTTTTGGAGTCAGGTAAGATCTGGATTCAGATCCCAGTGCTGCTATGTAACCCTGGGCCCTTGCCCCTCAGAACCTCCATCTCCCTATGTATGAAATGGAGACGTTTTTAATGTTATTTCTACGGTCGATACTAGGATTCAATACACCATCCGCTTAAAAAAAAAAAAAATACTGAGCACGTACAATCTATAAGGCACCATTCTGGGTGCTGGAGATAAAGCGGTTAACAAAACAGACCCAGATAGCTCTGCCTTCATGGAGCATAGATTCTCCTGGAAAATCTGGAGATTCTTCCTTAGCACAGAACCTGGCATGCGGGACTAAAACCAATTCAGAGGTTGCAAACCATCTGCCAGCAGGCCTATCTGGTGCACACGCAATCTCGTTGGGCCCAAACAGCGGTTTGTGTGAATTTGGTGCCAGCATTTAAACCTTGGGAGACTTACAAAAATGTGGGTTGCAGGACCCTCCTGAGGCATCAGATGCGCCATCTCTGGTGATAGCCACGTGGCCAGAATTGGCTGGAGTGGTCCAGTCACTACCCCTCATCCAGGGCAGGCAGCATCAGCCCCTCCCCCACCCTACACTCTGTTTTTGTCACCTGCCTGGCCCCTGGACACATTTGAGTTTGCAACCCCTGTGGTAAACGTTTAATACCAAGCCCCTTACATTTTGGAGGTGTCAGAGATGGCTGGGCAGGTGATGATGTCCCGAGCACGAGGAAGAATGGCATTGGAGTTGGAGAGACAGGTTTAGGGTGAGGCCAGACGGGCTGGTTCCGGTGTGACTGGGGCACCTCGCTTCCTCTCTCTGGGTCTCAGTCTCCACGTATGGAAAATACCCTACAAAGGTGTACTTACCTTCTGGAATATTCCAGAAGGATTCCACGAGCGCATCACCCCATCAGTACCTGACACAGAAGAGATGCTCAGCACACGGTGGTCACTTGTAGAGACCCTCCAACTGAAAAATAACAATAAAAGCATTCTAGGGAAGAACAGAAACCGAGAGAGGGGGGTAGGAAGAAGGAAACTGAGGCTAGGACAAAGTGAGAAAGCAAGTAGCAGACGTGGAGAAGAGTCCTCAGCTGCTCGGGGTGTGGTTTTTTTTTTTTTTTTTTTTTTTTCATTCATTCAGTCAACCATCCATTCATTCATTTGTTCCGCAGACATTTATTGAGCACCTGCTATGTTCTCAGGCCTAGGGACATGGCAATGGCCCTGACAGGTCACTGTTTTCGTGTTGCCAGCCCGAAAGCCGCATCCGCACCTCTCAGCACACAGTCGATGCTCAAAAGTCTACCATTCCTGGCCCCACAGGCACGTCTGGTCCTGGTCTGTGGCCCACAAGTATCGCCTGGTATTCAGAAATATTGCCTAGCCAGGCCATTTTCTGGAAAAGTCGAGGACTTTTCCACCAGGAAGCTGGGAACTTCGAAGGGATTTTGAGGGAGAGGGTGGAGTGTGGTCTCTGGTCTGCTGTGTGACTTTGGGAATCTCTCTGACCTCTCTGACCCAGGAGGTGGAAAGGAGAGGAGACGAGGTCAGGATGTAGGTGAGTAATGGGGGATTCCTGACTCCCTCAAAGCCTCCAAACCTTCTCTTCTGGGGGGGCGGATTTTAGGGGTGCAGGGTGGCCTCAATGAGAAGACAGATGAAGAAAAAAGAAGGAGTTGCCTGGAGGAGGGAGATGGCCCCTGAGGCAGGGCTGGGAGGGGAGGAAGGAGGGAAGGGCGGGGCCTGGGTCCGGGGATGGGGGTCTCCGGGAGTGGCTCTGAGAGAGCGCATCAGAGCAAGGTCATTTGGAGAGAACAGAGAAGGTAGAGGTGGACCGGCAGAGAGGGAAAGACAAGCAGAAACACGAAACAGACAAGAGACAGAAACAAGACAGGGATGGGGATACGGTTGCCAGATGTAGCATATAAAAATACAGTATGTCCGGTGACCTTTGAATTTCAGATTAAAAAAAAAAATTTTCCTTAAGGGTAAATATGTCCCGTGCAATGTTGGAGCTATACTCCCACTAAGTATTAGCTGTTGCTTATCTAAAATCCAAAGGTAGCTGGGCATCCTGGATTTTATCCGGCAACCTTAAAAGGAAGAGAACAGAGATCTGAGGGGCATCAGTGACGCCAGGACAACTAGTCAGAGGAGTCAGGTCGTCTGGGTCCACTTTCTGGAATCCTAAAGCCGGGGGTGCTCAGCGCCCCCCTCTCTCCCCGGGTCCCCTTCTCTCTGCCCCTGGGGCTCCCTCTTCTCTGCGTCAGTCTCCCCAGCTCTCTGCCTCTCAGACCCCTCTCTTTCCCACTCCGTCTCCCTCTCCTGCAGACAGTCTCTCTGTTCCCTCCATTCCTCTTCCCCCTTCAGTCTTGCTCTACCCTCAGGCATCTGCCTCAGACATAAAGGTGATTGACCCACCAGGTCACCCTTCCCCAAGTGAAGTGGGCTTCAGGGCAAGTGACAGGCAGGTGGGGAGTGCATTCAGGGACACTACTGTTTTCCTCAGTCAGGGCTGTTGAAGCTTGGGGCTGGGAGGGGGAAGAGACAGTCTACTGGAAAAACTCTCCATCAGCAGGGCAGGCCTTGAGGAGTCTGGCAAGTACAGACCTCCCCAGGGTCCCCTCCATCCTCCTATCCCCAACTGTGACTTAGTCTTTCTAAAGTGTCCTCTCCGCCAAAACGCCCCATTGCAGCATTCTGGAGAGAGCTCGGCCACATGGTTTCTGGCCCCCTTGCCCTTGCCTCTGTCTCTCTCTCTGCCTCAGTTTACCTTCAGTACCTCTCTGGGTGTCTGTCTCATCACATCTGCCTCCTTCCATCGCTCTTTTTCTCCCCCCCCTTTTTTTTTTTTTTTTTTTTTTTTTAATTTCATCTCCTTGTATCCCTCCCAGGGCTCTGCCTCTCTGCCTTCCGCTTCCGCTGGGGGTAGTGGGGTGGGGTGGGATCTACCCTCTCTGAATCACTTTCTG